TCTCTCTCTCTCTCTCTCTCTCTCTCTCTCTCTCTCTCTCTCTATCTCTCTCTCTTGCTCCCCATCTCTCTCTCTGTCTATTTTTGCTCTCTTTCTTACTCAATATTTTTTTCTCGCTTATACACAAAACATACATACTCACACACGCATTAACGCACGCAAGCACGCACAAATGCAAAGCACGCTCGCGCACACACGCGCGCACACATAAATTTAGTAACACAAACTTATATTGACGGGATTTCTGTATTCATCATGCTCGCCTTAACGCAAATGCAGCCCAGTGACCCTACGTTGTAAGTATGGATACTGTACGCATGCGGCACGTCTCCGCAATGCTATCCCTGCTTTAAGTGATTTTCTGTTCTCGGGTTACAGTCAACCAGCATGAATAGAAGTAGCACCAATTATGCGAAACGCCAATTACCCCCGAAAGAACACAACTTGGTGCCTAATTTTTCCAGCCAGGCGGCCAGCAAGAATGCGAAGAAATACCGGGGCTCTGCATATTAAATCAAACAGCTGACATAATTATAAGGTAGACGTCGTCGCGGGGCTTAGGTGGGACCACACCTTACGAGGTTACCGTTGACTGACAGATGCGACGTCTACTCAGCAGTTAAAGCGCTTCTGCAAATATTGAAAATTGAATTTATCTCGTCTAAAGGCCTTATCTTTGACAAAGAAACCAGCCGAGGAACAGAGCTGAGTACCAGTAATGGCGGACAGCCAAGTGCTAAATTACAGAATGCTCTCAGGGGCACAGTGCTGTCCCTGGGAATTACTACTGCTCCTGGTCCTCATGAAAAAGTTTTATGTACGGTAAACAACATCTGCGCATTGTAGGCCTGTAGACTATGAGCGAAACTAAAAGATTACTAGTTCCTCTATGTCGCAATTCGGAATACCATCCAAACAAACCGACCCTATTCATTACAAAAAGTCCTACATTTTTTCAAAGACAGTTCATTTGGTATAGTTATAAAATATAAAATTTCAATGAGTTAAGTATTATTGTACCATTGATGGTAAGTTAAACGTTAAAAAGTCTACCTAACCCCAAAACCTAATAGATAATACGACAGCCCGTGGGTGGATGCATTTGACTTTGCTTTTGAATCAACGTTACATATCCTGCAATGTTTTTGCGCTTATTCACTGGTAGAGCTCTCGACGTAACAGGCGATTTGGATAGACGTGAAAAATACAAATTGACAGGCAGGCAGAGACGTAAACAGACAGACAGGCATACGAGCTGGTAGGGCGGCAAGTGGGCAGACAGTTAGTCAGACAGACAGAGATAGAGTGGCAGCCGATAGGCAGATATGCAGACAGACAGACAGACAGAGACAGAGAGGCAGCCATGGGAACATGCTTATATTCAGACAGGCAGAAAGACTGGCAGGCAGGCAGGCAGGCAGGCAAACAGAATGACAGATAGATAGATAGACGGGCAGACAGTCATACGGGCAGACAGACA